TAATTATATATTCTCTTATATATACATATACATATATATATATTAGGTGTAGTAAAAAGAAATCCATTATTTTTCCATTCAATTTCATGCAAAAATAATGGATTTCTTTTTACTACACCTAATATATATTAGAATAATATGAAAAAAAATTGATGCTAAAAAGATTAAATTTATAGTTCAATTTAGAAAAGTATCTATCAATATTGAAATCTCAAATATTAGCATTATTCTCGATTCCATGAGAATACTTCTTTTTCATTTCTCTAAGCATATTTTTATATTACAAAAGATAAGAAGATATTCAAACTGATTATCATAAAAGAATAATACTTTGATATCTATTATAGATATCGACATAGAATTTTACATTTAAAACAAATGATATTGTCTGTATTTAAATCATAAATTATTTTTTTCGCTCACAGTCGTTTTGTTCAGTTCCTTGTTTCATTTGTTTCGCTGTTTGTAATTTATGTCACGTATGTAAATGAAATAAATCAGTTCGACGCGTGCATACGAATCGTAAATTTCATGTACGCGTTCGCGAAGAAAGAAGAGAAAAAAGAAAAGATGTCTTGACGAAGAGAACGCTTGAACTCGCGTGGAGTGTCTTTAAATAGCTACTGCACACTCCGAGATCCACTCTTTCTCTCGGAGATATACATTAGATATGGCGATCCATCGTGGCGATCATCGTACATCACCATGTGGTGTGCTTCCCTTTTTCTGAGTGAAACATTTTATGACGTGTTGACGGTCGTGTTTTAGCCGAGGAAGTAGAAGAGAGATCATAAATCTTTTAGACGCATTTGTAGAATATAGACAGAAACCTGTTTGACCTTTAACGTGTCATCTGGGTGAACCTTTTATCAAAGATGCTGTATAATTATTATTACAAATCCTTCTATTGTTATAAATAAGATTATTATTACAAAGTTTTTATAGTAATATTAATATTAAAGTGCAAATAAAAAAGTACATAATAATAAAATAGAAAAGTTTAATAATTTTGTATAGCACAAAGCATGTCAAGCATGATAGTAGAAACAAAGTTAAATCAATATCAATAATGGAAAGAGACTTTCAATCTTAAACAAACAATACAGTTCAAACAAAGGTTAATGAGAATCAACGCAGATACATAAGCGCAGAATTAAGAAATGTAGGTAGGTAATTACTCAGAAATTGATAAAAATCTTTATTTATTTTAAACGTTTCAACTCACTTTGGAGTCATCCTCAGCGAATGTCAAATCTGTTTATCTGCGCTGACTCTAATTAATCTTTGTTTTAATTGTATTGTTTGTTGATAGTAGAAATTTATTAGATTATATTTTATTTAAAGTTTGTACAATAATTTATTAGAAAATTTTTCCAATGTTTAATTAAATTTGATTCATAAAATGTTGGAAATAAAATAGAAATAAAGAAAATTGATTTGTAAAGTTATATGAAATTATACCACGTAATTATTGCGTCATTAAAAGTATATGCATATATATAAATGTATAGATGTATAATTATACATGATTGTGAATATTTATGCGTGTTGTAGGTATGTTTATACATATTTATATACAGAGTGTTTGATAAGTAACGATAAAACTCTCGCGTAGGGGTACATCGGACTGAATTGAGTCGAAAAGTCCTCTATCATTTTGCAATTTTCATAATAATTAACAAGATATCAATTATTAAAGATCACCAAATATTGGTCTTCAATAATTTTTTTGCTCAAGTACTATCAACTTTACAGACAAACAGCAAGAGACAAAAATTGTTTATTTTCTTCTCATGGAGTTCTACAATGAGAAAATGCGGTACTAAGAAATTCTAAAGAAATTCTCAGAACTCTATGAGAAGAAAATGAACAATCACTTGCTGTTTTTTTGTAAAATTGATAGTACTTGAGTACAAAAATTATTGGGAATCAATATTCGGCAAATAATTAATATTTTGTCAACTATTGCGAAAATTGTAAAATAGTAGAGGACTTTTTCGACTCAATCTGTTCTATCCTTACAGAGAGTTTTATCGTTATTTATCAAACACCCGGTTTATATATATTCATATATAAAAAATTGTTTACCAGGAAAATAAGAATGTTTGGGAACTGTATAATAAAATCAACAATTTGATTCTCGTACAACTGCTATATTATCTTATAACAATAACATCACAAAGACACAGGACTGGGACTAGTGTAATATTTTGGAGAGTGTCCACGTCTTCGCGCGTTCAAAAGAATCAATCAAGATTCATCTCGATAATCGCGAATCGTCAATAAGGCCAGTCCTTTTTACGCATTTCATTCGAAAGATCATACGGCTCCACATGAGGATGACGAACGACCGTGCTTTCGGGCGACACTTTTCAGTCTGGCGAATATGCCAGACATAGGCTCGTCGTTGTCATATTCCTCGTCGTCGTCATCGCTAATTTCGTCATAATGACGAACGTAGATGTCTGAACTATCGTTGTTTCTCAGGGAGTCATTTTCGACTTGGTCTCCGTGTCCCACGATTTCTTCTCGATTGATCACGACGCTGCCAGGAATGTAATCGGGATCTGGTGGTCCTACCGGACCGCAATCTACTCCACGGATATCGTCTTCCACGTTGTTGAATACGCCAATAGGATCTGCCGGTAAGGGCCTGTTGATTGGCGCGTATCCTAGGTCTCTAAAATTATTCACCAAAATATATATTTATCTCGGGATTAGCATTTAATATCTCGATACTAACTTTAATTGCTACACAAATAACACACTCGCGTACGCAATTAGTACTAATAATACTCATCTTTGAAAATTATGCTTGCTCAACATGTTAACTCGATACGATTAAGATCATGTTTTTAAATAATAAACATTGGAGATTTGATTTAAACAGCGAAGTTGCAAATCTGTGTGAGCAACATTTTTTCAAATATCAAAACGTACATTTAATCAATCTAGAAATTAAATATGCGTCTCTCTTTGTGTCGCGCAAAACAACATATATAACATATATAACGACAGCAAGATTCGTAAAGAATAATACGCCCGGCGTAATAAATATAAGTATACGTTGAGATGTATATCCGGCAAGTTGTATTGCGTTGTATGAACCTGATGAGAATTGCGTCGTTGATCTCTGGCAAAATCACCGAATCGAAGATGCATCGATCGAGATCATTTCGATCATCGAGCCGCGATTAAGTTATACGCAAAATTCTCTTCCGCTTTCGACTCACCCGTACGTAATGAAGTTCTCTTGCAGCCGTTCGGCGATCTCTTCCTGATTTATCTTCTCACGCTCAATAGCCTCGAGCTCCGCCAATTTTGCTTCTTCGTGTTCGTCGTAAGCGCCGATGATGGTAGGAGCTTGTGGCATCGACTTCAACTCTACAATGGGTTTCTTGAGGATTTGAAGCTTTTCCTCAGGAATGTCCGGCACATTTTTGCTAGGTGTTGACTCGGTCGGCACGGTTCGATGACCGAACGCCAGCTTGTCTTCCGGCACGAATGCTCTCTTGTTGTAGTACACGGTACGCGGGAAGAAATTCTTATACGCTAAAGTGACTGACACCGGATCCGCTGGCAGTCGAGGATACGAATAGTCTTCGGGAAGCTCTAAAATATAAACAAACCTATTATCTACATCTCACAGTCTTGCTTATATCAATCTCGTAAATAACTGGATTATGTATAGTATAACTCGCGGCGCGTGTCTGTGTGAAATTACACTTAAGTCTGATTGATTATAATGAATATACGTGGGTAAACGGAAAGATTTCAAAAAAAAGGTACTGATGTATTCTCTATATATCTTATTGTTAGTGTTATATATATCAAATTAAATTGAGAGACGTACCTGCATCATCGCCAAAATCACAAGTAGATTTACTCGATCCTTGGATCGTCTCGACGTTACTCGACGTCGCAATACTTGATCGTCCGATACCCGCGTACGCGGTCGAGCCTGCGCTGGCACCTGCGTACGATCCGTAAGCGATCGAACCCGCGTTAGCACCTGAATACGATCCATACGTGGTCGAACCGGCACCCGCGTGCGATCCGTATCGCGTAGCCAACTTAGCTACATCGTTAGAAATATATTTGTCGAAAATAGCGCTCCCGCCGATTGATCCATCGGTTGCTAAACCGAGTTCCCTCAATCCAGCTTCGTCGATCTGTCCATTGAGTATTTTCACACAAACCTTGTAAGGAATGGGAGGAGCGCATTTGATTTTACCAGGATATGCAGGTTTCACTTTGGTGATCACCTGGAATTTACTGCTAGGCGGGCTCGGATAACACAGATCGCCGATCGGTGGAAAACTGTCAACAAACATTGAAAGTTGAAATCGTGTAATAAGAATAATATAATGGTGAAATCATGAAACGATGAAATACCTGGGCACGACTTTTCCTTCAATATTAGAGGATAGAAGATCGCGAACTTCCAGAGATTCCAGAGAATGATCCTTTCCGCATCCGCAATTGGAAGTAACTCTATCCGAGACAAAAGTGAAGGGTGAGTGAGCGTTGCTTCCGCCAATCGATCCTCCAAGAATTCCGATGGAAGACGAGGAAGAGCTGCTGCTGCTGCTGCTGCTGCTGCTGCTGCTGCTGCTGCTACTGCTGCTGCTGCTGCTGCTGCTGCTAAACGCTCCATCGGTATATGGTTTATATTTGGGAATAGATGCCAGATTTTCAGGCTGCCATCGATCTGTTCCCACAGACAATCTTCCAACCGCTTCGCGTGCCACTGCAGCTTCGTTGATTGCTTCCGGCGACGCGTAGAACAGCGGTTTTTGCACCTTCGCCGATTTCACCACTATTTCCCCGCATTTGCACGCGTTAGTGCCTAAAGAAATATGGGCATGACATATACAAGAGTCTTTTTTTTTCCTCAAAGAATTCCAACGCGACGTATCGATGGAACGTTTAACGAATATAAATTTTGTAAATGCAATCAACGTACCTGAGCCTAAATGTCCACACGTATGTTCTGATTTGCATGATCGGATGATAGCTATCGTCAGGAGCAAAGCTGCTCCTAAGCTCAGAGAGGACCTCATATCTGTCTCAACGATAATACTCTCTCTTTCTCCTTTTTCTCGATCCTTTTCTTCTTCCTGACCTTATATTTATATGATAAGTCGCCAGGCTCTTTAGCGAGCGCGGCGATTTTGCAATCGATCAACAATGATTGTTTGGACGACTTGGATATGCCCGAATACTTCCTGTTGCAACGTTTATGCGAAGAATTTGTTGTGACTTTATTGTCACTTCCTGAATTCACACGTTCGAATAAACCGTGTGAAAAGGCTCATTTTATATGTATAGTTTCATGCGTTCAACGCAAAGATAATCATCCGTTTTGTTGTAGAGGATACGCGCGAATCGTCTTGAGTGATTTAATTTCATTTCCGTATTTATATAATTAACGATAAACAAAACGGAGAGCTACCAGAATGAAAGTGAAAAATGCACACGAATGAAAGAAGTTTCCATGAATGACGAAAGAAATGGGTTAAGATCATTAATCTTACGATCCCGCGTAGTCTTCTTTTTCCCAGTTTTTAATACTATTTATATACCGTTTTTATGCACCAATGCGATAATATAACGAAAATATAATGTTAAAGACTTAAGATAATATCGGGAAAATATTTCATGATGATTTCATAATATTGTATCAGGAGAAAGAAGCTGAAGAAAAGAATTTCTTGTAAAATGTATGGTATTATAAAATATTTCATTTTCCACACACACACACACACACACACACACACGCACGCACGTACATATATGATACAAAATATTTCGAAAATTATTTCATAGTTGTATAATGTTGAAAAAAAAGTATTTGAGAGGATTTGTATATCTATTTGCATTCTCTTTCGACGAATCTCTTTAAAGAATGATACAATTTATAATTTTTATACAAAAATTTAAAATATAAAAAGCCTCAAAATTAAATTATGGTAGAAAATAATTGCAGACATAACAAGTAACTGTTCGACCTTCTTCAAAATGTAGATCATCAACGATGGATAAACATCAGAGTTTATTTTTAATTAATGAACTACGATTAAAAAATGACGAAAGTTTTGGCCGCTTTGACTAGATTATTATTAAATTTATAAATCAAAAGAAGAAATTGTAAACACAACAAATTCGGATGAGAGTGGTTGCAAGAAGGAAAAGTAGTGGTACATGTGATGCAAAAGGAACTCACTCCGATATTTAATTAATGCTCATAAAAATAAATTTTGGTCATGTATTAATTTTACTTTTTTGCAGTTTGCAAGATTCCAAATCCTATAAGAATTATTATCGAGACGAAGATTTTTTTGAGAAACTGAAACATTAATCTGTATCACTTTTTATATACAAAAAAAAAGATACTGCACATATGCGTCAAGCTGTAAGCTCTCGTGAAAGGAGAATTTGTAATATTTCTCTTTAATGTATCTTTATATTAACAAATGTAAATGTAAAATGTTATTATGGATTAACTGCCATATTGCGCTCCTTAGCATCTGAAAATTCATATCAAGATTTTTCTTTTGCAATGTACATATAGTTTTCCAACACACTTTCATGGAATATTCCTATCTTATGTGTGTTTATTAAATATTCATTTATGTATATTCATTTTTCTAAACTACATTTCACAAATGTAATATAATATTCTTTAATATTATTCAACATTCTTCTTCTCTAATTTCAGGTATTATGCTTTTCTTAATGTTGCTATTAAAATAATATCAGTCATCAAATTTTATCTCATTTTTTCACCTTTAATTTGTTTTATTATTGACGCTACTCCAAGCCTGAGTAATCAATCGAATTCTTTTCTTGTTTCTTCACTAAAGATGAAAGAATTATGGGTTTAAAGATTGAACTATTTTTTCAACAGAATAACCATTTTCAATTAAAGTCCTTCGTTTCGAGGAACTCGTATTGCAGAGAGAATTGCATAATGATGATGAAGTCTTGGCTGGAGATTTGTCAGAAGAATTTTGAGACAATATCAATTGAATATTTTCCCATTGTGTGTTTTCATTTAGAGATGTAAATTTTAATTTCAATACATCTTCAAGAATTTCATTATCTATATCTTGATTTACTACTTCTGAAGTATAAATCTAGAGGTGAAATGCTTGAAACAGTTTAAAATAAATGATAAGAAGAATAAAGATAAAATCTATATATCTTTGAATATGCACGTTAACATTTTGTCTGATTATTATATACTACTTAATTGTTTTTTATTCTTGCTTCCATTTATTCTTGTGGAGATATTTTTTTTGTAATTAGAATAAAATGGTCTTCTAAAAATGTAAGTATCATAAAATATCAAAGATTTGAATTAAGAATATAACAATGAAAAAGTGAGATTAGATTGGAATGAGAGAATGAAATTATGAAAAATTAAATTAAGAATATTTAGATATTTAGATTTAGACTGTCCCGCTTCCTTTTTTCACGAATTCTTTTTTTTTATTTTCAATATTAAAAACTATTTCTTAAAGAATGCAATTTATTTATTCATTCTTTTCTTGTATTTGAACGTATTTTTTGTACTTAATTATTTACTCGTTTTAAAGCTTCATTGCATAAATGCTTATTATGGTAATTTGGATTTTTAACAGCATATGTATAATGTAATATGCCATCGATTGTTTACCCGATTACGTCTACCCCACTTCTAATATTTTTTTTGTCATGCATGCAAGGAACAAGCATGAAATCGTGTATAAAAATTGTATGTATGTATGTACATAGAGAAATGAGAATTCATGCATGTTAGTATGCAGCGCTCAATGCCTGAACGTATTCTCTAGCATACTCAGAGCATGATTGCATGCATGCATGTCATTCAAGAAATCGAGAGGATCGTGTGATTCCATCTTAAGAGGATTAGCGACATTCAATAAGACTCGAATATTAAAAGAACTTTGTTACAATTATATTATAAACTCTATAATACATCATTTACATATATACGCACGTATGCACGCGCGCGCGCGCGCGCGAGCACACACACACGCACACACACGCGCACACACACACGCACGCGCGCGCGCGCATGCGCGTGTCTCTCTTTAATATGTTATATTTATTATTAATATGTTATATTAAATAAGCAAATTCGGTCGATGTACATACACTATATACAATCTCACACGCGCGATCTTTCTACATACAAGACAATTTCTCATTTATTGAAGAAATCTGACGCTCGTTGTCGCTGTGGAGGTAGATTAAGTAAATTATCAGTGAGTACAGGTCCTTGTATCCGCATAGTATTAATTTCCGACTTTTGAGAGATGATTTCTTTAGCCATTATGTTCGCACGTGGCGTATTAGGTGTTCTGATACCTCCTACGGATGGAGTCCTAGACGATGGCGTTCGTCGAGGAGATGGCGTATTCGATATGCGCAGTTTCTGAGTCGCTAATCTTCTTGCTGCGGGAGACATAGTGCTCAGCCGATCTATGGTTGATCTCGGTGATGGACTGGAAAGAATATTAATAAATAGTTCTCGTAAACTTTTCTCACAAGTATGTTATTTTCGGAAATATTCATTTCGCGAAATTTATATAACATATAAATATCCCAAATAGCTTACGTGGCTAATGATCTCCTGGCAGCTTCCAAGGCTTTATTTTTTCGATCTCTGTGCCTCTCGCCAGCCTTCTCAGCCAACTGCAATGCCAATTGTTCTCTTTTCGGTGGTTCCGCTATTCTAAAAGAAGGTCCTTGACTTGTCCTCAGCAATGGTGTGTCACCACCATCCAATCGGAAGGGAGTTCCCTCGATCTGACCCCATGTCATCAACGGACTTTCGCATTCTCCCGGTCTCGGACTTGGCGTAGCCACGAAACTAAAACCATTCACTCGTGGCGTAGCATTTCTGACAACCTCTTTGCCATCCACACCAATCTTACCGTCGTTAGCTCTGGATTGTGACTTGGCGAGTTCGTCGATGGTTTCTTTATTTTGTTGCTCATTAAACGGATTTGTTCGCAATCTCGTATTTTCATGCATTATAGTTTGTTTCTTCTTTGCCAATTCTATTTTCTCTCCCGCCGTAAGTTCCACTCCATCGGGAATGTACATAATATAATTTTTATTCTTGTAAATCCAACTGTCCACCTGTTTGGGTCTGGGATTGGATCCTTGGATAGCTGGGACGTCAGATGTAGTGGTGGAGGATCCATCGATTGCTAACCAAGCTTTCGACTTGTCTTCTGCCTCGTAAAGCCAGGCATACTTAAGTTTACGTTTATTTTCAGCCTCAATCATCATTTCTTCGAAACTAGCATTATCCTCGCTTGTATGATTACTCAAATAATCATCGAGACCGATCTTATTTTCAGTATCATTTCTATTTACGGATTCGACGTTGTCTGTTTTTTGGGACGATGCCTCAGTGATGGGTGGTGATTCGGCTGATTCAGTCCTACGTAGCGGAGTTTCAAAAGTCGCTGGACTGACCGGTCTTTCAGTGACAGGTCGACCAGAACTATACTTTGCGTACAACTCTCTCATTCTGTTCATATCATTCTGCTCTAAAGCCTCTAAATACTGATTTTGTGCCTGTAGCTTTTCCAAGTGCGGAAAAAAATCTTTTTGTATAATGTCACTCATTTTTTCAATATATGTATCTTCATCTAAAATCTTTGGTTGTACATTTTTGCTCCTCTTGACGGATCCGACAGGCTTTTTGAACACAGTCAAGTCCTTGATATTTTTAGCGGCTTCGAGAGCTTTAGAACCTGGGCTGTCCGTAATGGAATCTGTGAAGGAACAAAATTGATATGAAATATGATAGAAATGACAAGACAAATGATTTAGAAAAAGAATTGGAAAAACTTGCTACTTGAGAAATTTTTATTTTAGAAAATAAAAAAATTTTTTAGAGTTTTATTTGATTTGTTTGTAAAATCTAATAAGAAAGGAGGTATAAGGTATAAGTTACGTTTACATTAGTACCTACTCATTTTGATTAGCAGTAGAGTAGAAGTCTAGTCAATCAACGCGGGTATGATTGAGGTTATGTAATGGAATTCGTCTCAATGATCACTATAAGTTTGAATACGAAGCACTTGATAGTGTAGAAAATATTTATTTATTGCAAATCTGTCGAATGCAACCTCGTACATATCATATCACATTTCATTTCTTTTCTATAACGAAGATACTGTTTGTCTTTTTGAGATTATTTATAATGTAATAACTCTACCAGTATGTACTTCGTATGTACTACGTATGTCCCTTGTACAAGTGTATACATCGTACATGATGATCGTATGTACGTATTATGCGTATCAGTGCACATACACATATATCACTAACCACCATTATCCTTCGTATGTACGTATGTACTTATGTTAGTACTGCTCACTATTTACACTGTTATGTATGTACATACACGCGATCTACCACACGTAAATGCATACATACGCATTACTTAGAACCTCTAAAATTTCGCATATATAAATATATATGTGTATATTTGAGCGTCGAGGAAAGATTGGGAAAGATGAAAGAAAACAAAGATGCCACGCAAGTGCCAAAATAATTAGCACTTGATTGTACGAGTAACATTACCGACGTATGATACTACTACTAGTTTTCACTACCAGTTCTCATTGCTCTCAGTGTCACGTGTCGCCATCTCGCCCTGTCTGAGTCGTTTCGCGTAAAGCAAGTTGGAAAGCGATAGTTTAAAAGCTAATAAATAAAAATTCTAAATGTATTTCATACATTTAAAGATACACATGAAATAAATGACGCAAGCTTACTTAAAAAGTTTATTTTGGATGATTCTGCACGCATGCACGTAGAATTGGAAAATTCACGCGTAATTCGCCTGGTAAGTAGTAAGTAGAAAAATATATATGTATACATCCACACGCACGTGCACATGTGCAATACAAATAATGCATTTCGTTTTTATTACGATGCACTTATAAGAATGGATATTATGACGCGTATAGGCAATTGCAGTTAATTCTATTATCTGGAGATAATAATATGGAAATTGAACGCCTAAGACGAGTATAAAATACAAGTACTACAAGTCCAAATAGAGAATTAATCTGTAAATACATAGCTAGAGGATCGAGGGGCTACAACTAACAACATCCTGCAGCGTGAATATACTGTGATACGGACTTGAATCCCTGGCCACTAGTCTCCGGTGACCGGTCTCCGGTTGCCGCGGGCGCGGTGATATTTTGGTCCAGGCTGGGGCTGCTGGGAGTGCTATAGGACGGGAGAGGGAGAGATATCGTTTGTTGCGTTTGTGCGCGTCTCTCGACGTGGCGCACCCGTGGCCGCGAGTCGCGAGCTGCGAGCAAAGTGATCCGATCCGAGGCGAAGCCCCGAGATGTTGGAGTTGGAGGGCCATGTTGACAGACATATGAGGATTCCAGCGGCGAGATAGGATATGCGTGCCGAGTACGTCGCGACCGCGACGCCAAATTACTATCGCCAAATTACGCGTCACCTAATTCCCGTTTCCTCTTTTCTCCACAATATCCTCCCATCTGCAGATTTCGCAATTGTTGAACAGATCCGCCAGAAAAGTCATACGGTTTACATTTTTTATTAATTAAGTATGTTAACGATAACTTTTCCCAAAATTTTATGCACGTATAAAAAGAATTGCTAGAGTTTGCTGTCGCACAATTGCAGCTACAACGAGCTAACATTGCAATTAAATTCGATGCGAAAACGATATACATAACTTGTACTCAAACTTTGCTAACGCGTAATAAATTATTCGATATCGCAGCGAAATCTCTCTCAAAAATTCTTGTCGAGTACAATTCGTCGTAGGAACGCGCGGATATGCTGTTCAAGTGAAATAGAATCCTCCATTGTGCAGACAACTGCGATTTACCAATTCGTTGCAACGAAACAATTTATCATTTGTATAGCGAAATTATTTGCAGATTTGACAAAATTATTATTAACGGATAAGAAATAAAAGTTTTTAATGTTCACTATACAGGCAGCAACGAGCATTTCTCTTGTTACAATAAAAATCTCAAAGCATAAATTTAATTGCGATGAGATTGAAATTCCATTTTTTTTTTAAAGCATGCCTCTTACAAAATTGATATTCCCCGATATAATAAATTTCTTTGAAAGTAAAGCCTAGTTTATACCGAGCACTTGATACTTGATATTAACTATATAATAACTAATGTAAACTAAGACTAAGAGTTATCATTATTTCGGATATATATCTTGTTATTATTAATAATAACAAGAAGCCACGAGCACGTATATCAATAATAATCGTAATAACACACAACTTATTGTAATAAAACGTGTACTCTTGGCCAACATTAACATTTTTTCACATTTCTACCAACATTTCCACAATGCATTGTTCCGCAATAAAATGATTATGTTAAGATTTTATTGCAATTATATAAATGCCGCCATGATTGGTTTCCAACTCTTAAGGCCTTATAGACTTTAAATAAGTGCATGTGCAATCTTGGAAAAATTAAAATTACAAAATGCGATTTTAAGTAAAAGGAAAAAATAAGAGCAAAAAGCAACAAAATAAATTCAACTTAAACCAAAATAAATTCAAAATAAATCTCCTTAAACGTATACATATTAACGTTTTCAAGGTAAAGGAAAGATACACACACACACACACACACAACATTTCTTCGCGCGTATATATATATATATATAT